GTCGACAACTTTGGCTTGTTTTTAGAAAATTTCCTCTTTACCGCAGGAAAATTCATGACCACATTTTTTAAAATTCAGATCCCAGACTTTATAAATTTCCTCTTTAGCACCAAAATGTCCTCTGAAATCCAAAATTTCCTCCCAGATTATCTGGTGATCTGCTATGTTTCTGAATGTCGGCTGCAACCTGGCTAGACAAGTGAAATGCTCTTCCATAAGCTCTTCTATTTGTTATGAACATTGAACAGCTAAAAATATCAATAAACGTTTCAGTTCTGATGAAGCCGTTGTTACATCAAAATATAATAATATTATTCCTAACAATCGGAGTTATGTTTTAATTAGTTGTCAACAGAGAACCTGCTAGCAAATATATTCAAATTTCAAAACAATTTAACATGTATAGTTTGGTTTATCACATAACCAACAAGAATTTCGCCGCGGTTACACCACGCACGATTAGTTTTCCCTGCTTAAACCGTTAATATTTGCAATGAAAAGTTGATTTTATCGATTAATAAAAATTAGATATTGGATTATTTTGTTGTTAAAAAGTTGCAATATTTTCATCGTAATTTGTTATTGCGCGCGTGCAGGATTGCATGTAATCGAATATTTAGTACGCCGCGCACAAATTTTGGGCTAATTTAATTAACGGCACCGTTTGACAATTAAAATTCGCGTTGGATACTGCAATTAACTAACACATGCCGAGCGTCGCGCGCAGCATAACAGACGCTTCCTATACTCATAATTATAGGGGAGTGGTCTATATTGCGAAGGAGCAGACTTTTGTCGTCAACGTAGGACCGTCGGGCCACCTCATATATCCAAACCCGATTACTTATTCCCTACGATCTTTTTGCCTTCGGCAAGAGCAGGGAAAAAAATTCTGCTCTTAAAAAACACTCTGAAAAAAAAAGAACTCTGAAAAAAGTGTTAAGTTTATGTTTGCCAAGTTCAAAATGACCCCACGAAAACTCTCCTCTTGCATAAAATTGTATGAAATTAATTTCCATCATCCCCAGGCACCCACTATGTCTGCACCATTTAGATGGTATTGACCAGTATTCAGTTATAAATTATTACACAATTCAATGAAATAAGAAATTGTTAATATCTCGATAATTTTATTGGCTATTATTCTGGTAAATACATCATTTACAGATAATTACAGATTTTGTAATTTTGGTTATTTAAATGTGTAAAATGTCTTATTTTCAATATATTTTCCGTCCTAGGCTGGCATGGATAAAAAGTATTTTCGGCCATGTACAGCAAGCGAAACAAGCGAATCTCAAAGGACTGGGATTCCTTCAAAGTCCTCAAACAAACGACCAGGAACTGCATTAGGTGTTTCTACTGATCTGGAAAGCAGACGAACGTCTATAAGGATCAGTGTGAGTTTTCAATTTTACTTTGTTCTCTGACGAGTTCTTTTGTCAAGAACTGTGTCATGTTATATGTTGGGTTCACACGTAATTTATGTTGTTTGAAGGACCAAGTTTTAAGTATTCGATAATGGATTATTTGGGGATTACAAATATCATGTTAACATCTCACAATACAATGCAGTGTCAGATGTCATACCGTGCACGCTTCTGCTACAAGTTATAGAATTAGATTTATGATCGAACTGGTTTTGTGTTTCAATCATCCAATCTATTAATTAATGTAACCAACTTATAGTACTTCAAAAACTGTGACAGTAGCAGCTGTATGATAATGAATAAGCTCTGTTTGACATCAAATTCTTAATTAAATAGATCAAACATCCTGGCCGCAGCTTGCACTCTTCCCCAGCTTCGAATCAAACGTACTGACTATGCAGCTTGATTCATACGTTAAGCTTTTCAGGCTTTCAAGCGTACGAATGTTCGATAGATGTTGATTGTTCGTCTTTATTGTATTAATGTGCTTATCTGTGTTTTAAGCGTACTCATAAAGTTGCGTCCGAAAACCAGGAAAAAATGCTCGACTAGTTTTACGTTCGTGTTAGAAGCAGTAAACAAATGTTTACGAGCACTCAACTGTAAATACAGTAAGCCAGATGATCGTTGTACTTTGTAGTAATTTTCGTGAGAAAGTCTGTTTCACTGCAGTTCGTTTTATTTGTTCTTATTAATTGAATTACTGTCGAATTTTGTATAAACTTTGCTTGTCAAGCAACATGTTAATATCACTTTAATCCTATTGATTATTGAACAACAATAATTGTAGAGCTTCGACGAATTACTTAACAAGGTTATGATTGAAACTGGTAAATCCACGGGGGACCATAATGTTTTGTCTATTTTAGTCTAAATTCTGAGGTTGGACAAAAATTGATATTTAGAGATCTGGTCCCCCCTGGCCCTTATTTCACATACCACTAGGGAGCGGGGCAGAAGCTGAACGATAAACTAACGGACTTGTACAGTTCACTTCAAAACATTCCTGAACAACAAAATCCTCACATTCACACCATCAACCAACCCCTCAAGGTAAACACGGTACACGGTACAAGGTAAACACGGTACACGGTACACGGTTCTAGTTAAAAAAGGTAAACGGTTCACGGTACATGTTATGTGATAAACAATATATTATGGTAAACGATACACTGCACACGATAACACACTGCACACGAGGCCCCGTAATATGTAAACGTAGTTTGTGTGTATGGTGATATTTCATATCATTCACAGAGTTTCATATAATATAAAATCGTGGTATATACTTACCATGGTACTTAGGAAACACTTTATTTAACTCAAATTCGAATCTGAATATTCGTTATGAATTTCGCGCCATTATAATCCAATTTGACTGAGTCGGACATATCATATGATCAAATTTCATAGTGTACTTATCATGAGTTTTCTAAGTTATACCGTTTGTATTTTTGTATAGAAATCACGTTTTTGAATATGTTCATGTTGTTTGAATCGTAATTTTCTTCTTATCGTTTTATACTAGTTGACATTTCAAAAGATATTTGGTTACCAAGTAAATACAGTATACACCACCCTTATATCTTGTCGTTAAGTGCTCTAAAAATCACAACAGGGTTTCCATCCGCATTCCTGCAGATTAAAAGGGCTGGTCTCCTGATTAATTTAAACAATTATTAAAAGACGGATTCTTGTTTTAAAGCAGACTTTCGGACGCTCAGAGGTCATCATTTACTGCTTTCGACATTGTGGTCGGAATATGCTTATATTAGCTTGTAGTCCAATTAGTCATGAATAATTTTAGTCCAATCTATCCGCCATCAAAATATAACGATTTGTCACAAATCATTATATTTTGTCATTTGTCGTATTGGAATAAAAGAATAAATAATAGGCTCAGGGTTTGTCTTTATTTTAATGATTAGTTGCCATGGTAACCATAGTTACCCCGTTTACATGCCATTCAAAAGAAGGAAGTATGAGTTTACAGCCTCACCAAACATCTCCCTACCAATTGATTATCACATTAATATCACCGGCCATAAAGAGAGTTCCTTTTCTTTACTATCACTTTAGTAGTTAGTAGTTACAATTAGTAGTTACACACTACTTATAATCGTTGTGGTGACGCTATCTTTGAGTTCCTAGCTCCTGGAGTTCGTGTTTTTATTTGAAATAATCAGCTTGCTCCTCTTTTTTATGTAGTGTTGTTAGTTAGTGAATTGTGACATTAATTTTGAATTAATTGATACTGTCGTTATCCTATGCCTTGGAATGCCGTTAATCATAGCACAATAATCCACGTAAAACTCAAAAAATCTCAAAGATTTATGTGACACCGGATGTTTGGTGCCCCTTCACCTCTCTTTACGATTTCCCCTATCTCTACCATCGTAAGTCTTCTAATAACGATTCTAGGCTTGGTAAGTATACCACAGCCACGGGAAAGCTGGCAACTCAAGCTTGAAATTACATTTACTATGGAAATGCACAAAACAAATCTTAGAGGACAGCTTTTTAAGTAGCTTAATAAAGGCCAAATATTGATAGCAAATATTTGATTAAGTACATGTTAGAAACGCTACTCTTGGACGGGAAAACAGTTAGAATTCTATGAACTAGAAACCTCATGATTTTGTCTTGGTTCGGAATCCTGCGATATCCTCACCCCACCGAATTTCTTATTGAATTCTGAGCGGATACTTCAGGATTTTTAAAAGCAATGTTAATCGGCAAAATATGTGGTAACCATTAACCAATATCACCAGATAAACACATTATTTATCACGTGACCACACTCAGTATTTCACTGTTTCACTATTTCACTATCTCACTATCTCATTATTTCACTATTTCACTATTTCATATCACTAATCACCCTCTCACTCAGCCACGTGAGAAACACAAAGCACCATCACTGAGACGACGAGACACTATGGCTCTCATTAACCACCATGAAAGAAATCTCCTTGGTTTTGACAAAGAAAACTTAAATCTAGAGTGTTTGAGTGATATCAGTGAGACAAGTGAGGTCACAGACTATCAGCAAAGTTCGAACCAAAGTTTCGAAAATGAGAAAGCAGAAGATATGGTAAACGGTGGGAAGGCTATACGCTGGGCCCAAAGTAAGGAGTTAATAAGGGTCCAAGATGGTGGTTTTTCCAGTTGTGGTCAAAATGAGGTGCTCTTAAGTCTTACATTATTTTTGCATAAGTGAAGGTCGGCCAACATTATTTTTGGTTCACCCTGTAAAATTCACTGGTAGAATGTTTCGAACTTAGATATTTCAAACATTATGTTACAATCAGCAATCTTCAACACAAAAATTCATTTAAGCAGTTCAAGATGTATTAATATAATACTTCTTTATTTCACACACCCCAAATTTCACAGACAAGAAGAATCTCACGCACACAACCCCCACCTACCATACGAAAACCACCGAAAGTGAACCGAGTGAAAGGGAACCATGCACTACCCAAACAAACTGACCCCAAAGTGTTGAAATCCCTGAGGATGAAGGTTCTAAACCCGGCTAAGAATCCTAACATTGCTTCTCGTCAACATTATAAAGCTTCATTAAGCGATGCTGAAAAGCCTGCAAAGCCCGAACAAACAAACCCAAACAAACCGACCCCAAGATCCCGGTGGATGAAGGCTATAAGTTCGGCTAAGAATCCCAACAATGCTGATCAACAACAGTATAAAGCCTCGTTAAACGATGCTAAAAAGCCTGCTAAACCCCAACAAACCGACCCCAAAGTGTTGAAATCCCTGAGGATGAAGGCTCTAAGTCCAGCGAAGGATCCCAACATTGCCGCTCGTCAACAGTATAAAGCTTCATTAACTGAAGCTAAAAAGCCTGCTAAACATGGTTGGGATCAGATTAAAATGCTAGATATTCTACTGGAGGTCGAGGTGGGATGATTCATGGTTCACTATTTTAGTTCATCATTTTCAGATTAAGTCATAATACGGTTTTAATTTGTCACTCAGACTGGTACTGCTCAGGTTTAGGGTAAACTTGGGGGCCATAGTTTTGGCTGATGTTATTAATAGCGGGAACAAAGAGCTAACTACCCAGTACCCCTAGCTAAGTTCGCTTATTTTCAATTGGGGTTATTTTATAGGTACAATCTCCTCCCAGATTTGTTTCTGATGTTTAACCAGGTTTTCCTCAGGCGCTAGATTCCCAACTAGACCAGTATATTGATGATGATAACGTTAGTTCTCATACCGCTCCAGTGCCACCCAGTGGTCGAGTCAGTTCTCTCTTCAGTAACAGATCTACTTCTGCTTCTCATTACAAGTCTAACAGGTGAGAAATATGCAATGGCTCTCAAAAATGTACGAAAATATGTGTTGTTATTAATATTATGTTGTTTGCTCGATGAAGGAATTTGTTTAAATCGCCTGTTCGGAAAACGGTTTGAAAGTATTTCAATCTTTTCAAAGTTTCATCCATAACTCGTTTGATAATGCGAGATTATTCCTCGGAAGAAATCACGTAAAATAAGCTGACCTACCTTGTACAATCTGCTTTGTTATAGTTGTGAATAGTTTGTTTTATTAATCTGGTCACTGGTTTCATATTGTTGCCACTCATAATCATGATCAATCATAAAATTGCTTAACTAAACTGTTGAATACCATTATTCATGATTTGTATGTACCTACCACACGCTACACTTCAAAGGTATATTAATAGCTTACAATATATATAATGCACATTCACAGAGCATGATTTAATAAATATTAGGACCTTACTAAATCACAACACACTTTGCTACTTTATTTAAAGTTGTTGTTGACATGTATATTAGCGATCGTATTGCCATTAGTTTGTGCACGAATGTAAACAAGTCCCTCAAGCCTCCTACGCTTCAGTCAACTCTGTGTAATACTTTGCTGTAATTTTGCTTAATTTTCTTTCCGTTGACCAATTTGGGTTATTTGTCTTTGAGTAAAGCTTCCTGTCGGTTAATTAAGTCACGTGACAGATTCGTTTGAAGTGCTTGCAGTCTAATGGAAGTTTGATTTATCATGCTCTCAAGAAATGGTGCATTATCATCACCGATACCATCGCCCTCTGAAATGCACATTCAGGTTAAACAATTGAATTAATATTATCTAATTTTATTTAATCATTTATTAACTATTAAATATTAATTCATTAAAATTTTTGATTGATCATATCTACTAAAATTAATTACTTTCATTGATCGCATGTTAAATTGACTCTGGATTATGTTCAACGGTTAGACTTAGACAATCCTTGAAGACAATACACGATTGAGAATTTATTTCGCGAAGAATCTGATGCTGTTTTCGAAAATTCGACACGCCACGATCGATCAACGGAAGTCTCGAATTTCACAATATAATTTAGAAATTTTTTAAAACTTCCACTTCCACTTTCATCCCACCTTATCTTTTATTTCTTTCAGGATAGAAGATAGGATAAACCTGGATCACATGCAGATGCTAAAGAAACACTTTGACGCTGCAGCAGTGGAGGGGGTGGAGGGGAGGCTGTCTATGGACATGTTCATCATGGTCATGTCCCAACTACTCAACCTGCCTGACGAGGTGTGGTAACATTCCTTTACTTCGTGTCAACTGTCAATTCAGAAATACATTTAAGGAATTTACTTGCTTTCAATTGAATCACATATTTAAGCTAGAACTGACTGAAAAGTGGATATAATAAAACTTGTCACCCTGTTATATCAGATAAAACCACAATCTCCTCTACCCATCAGATGCAACCCCAGCTAAAAGCTCTGTTCATGAAGATCGACAGTGGATCTCATGGTCACATAGCATGGGATGCTTTCTGTACCTATATGCAGCTCGAACTAACTGAAAAGGAGGATTCCTACACCAGGGCTAGGGAGGTTGGTAGTAGTTATAACTTCTTTAGGTGAACATTTTTTCACGTTTTTTTTCCTGTTTCAATTCTAATTGCAAACGCCAAAAGTCATTTAGCAAAGTACATTAGCTCATTAGGTTTTTTAAATTTTGTTTTGTAATTTTTAGATGAAAACAAGCTAAGCTCAACTATTAAACAAGATAAAAAACCTGGGTTTAGTTTGATTTAATCGGTGGACATTTTCTCACTGTTTCAATTCTAATTGCAAGCGCCAAAAGTCACTCAACAATCACCACATTGACCCGCAGGTATGTTTTGAGACACCAGCAGTAACAAAGACCACACCCCACCGCGACACACTACACAGGGTGTGTGTTCTACCAGACCACAGCTACGTTACAGCCAGTCAGGACGGAGTCGTGGCCTTCTGGAACCCTGCTACTCTACAAGTTAAACGAACCAGACCGGTTAGTTTGATGACGTCACGTGTGTGCTGTGATATCACGTGCGTGCTGTGACGTCACGTGCTGTGACGTCACGTGTGTGCTGTGACGTCACGTGTGTGCTGTGACGTCACGTGTGTGCTGTGACGCCACGTGTGTGCTGTGACGCCACGTATGTGCTGTGACGTCACGTGTGTGCTGTGACGTCATTTAGCATATTATATTACTCTTGTGTGTACTGTGTAGTTGGTAAATGGTAGCGATTATCAGTTATGTCTATTCGAAATATTACAGAGTAAGCAGCTCTAGTCAGGGTAGAGTTTCGTTAAAACACCACCCTAAGTCTCATTGTCTAAACTACCGTAGTTGAGCCAAGTTGGACTCCAACATGGTTTAATCCATCAACTATCCACACCTTGAGGTTAAGCTCCTGATCGATTTGATAACTGATTATTTTAAAACCCCACCTATATATATATATTGGTGTTTTTCTGACATGATGCTGAGCTGCATGACGAGGTACACTGATTTGTTTCTGATTGAAGCAGTCCATTACTAGGCCTTCACAAGAGTCTGTTCAGATCTTCTAAGCATGCCTATTTTAACGATAATTATATCAATATTCCTGGATATCCTGAATAATATTGCCTGTATCTTTAATGATTAATAAGCTCTGCAACTGTAAACTCTAAATGGTCTGATAATTAAACAGTTTAAAAACTGTAAAGTTAGTTGATGAACAATGAAGTAAATAATAACAACATAGAAGCTTGCAAATAAGGGCCAGCTAGCTGTATGCTGCATGTCTGTGCTAGAATACACACACAGTTCAACATGCAACATGTACACTACTCACGTTCAGTAGTATCCCACTCAGTCAGTATCCCACGTATACCAACTTGTCACAAATGAGGCTTCAAGTATAGTTAAAGACCTAAATAACCCTAATACTCTAATAGATGGAATTAAGAATAAGGGATACGTATTCAGACTGATTTTTTGAATAAACAGAATTGTGTCATAGATTTATCAGGCAACTAATTCTGACTTGCTACAGCCTACATCTTGAATATTTGTTCAAACTTTCTGTCTGCTGCTTGTCGTGACCCTTGTCAGCTAACATGCAAACGAGACAAAGTAATATTAAATTAGCCAATAAAATGGCTGGTCATGATGTCACCGAGGAGTAGTTTGACAGTAAAGCTGCACGAACTGGTTGCTTCTCTCTCTCTCGGACTAATCAAACCGCTTTTTGTGGTAGTTTATTAAAATAAAACATCTGACCACTTTCTGTGTGGTTAACATACTCCAGGGAAATATAGCGTGTACATTATATACCGTGTGAACTGAAACCAACATTTGAACATTATTATTTTCCAATAGAAATGAAGTGCATCGACAGTATTGTTGCACCACCGTTGTTACTAGCTACGCAGGTGGCTCCAACTAGCTTGCTGAAAAAGCACCACCGCACCTCACAGCTGTACTGTACTAACTATATAATTATAAACAAGCTTTTGTCTCATTGAAATGGTGATTATCCGTTTCATTAAAATTTTAGGTGTTTAAAAATCTGTGGTGGCTTTATTTTGTCAATTTGTGGTCGGAGATTCGTGCTTATAAACGTGCTCCCAATGATGTATAATAAAATCGGTTCTGGTTCAAAGGATCATCTTTATGAAAGTTAAGAAGTTAAGTGCATGACCACATTAGAAGAAATTGAAAATTTAACCTCGAAGAGTACATAATGAATTTATTACCATGCTTGCAGAGTATACCATTAAAATGAGAAGATGTTTCTAGCTTGTCAACATACACGTGAATTCATTATTCAAGTGGCACAGAATTTAGTTGAGACGTTTGTTATTTTGATCAAGCTTTGAACATAAGCAAATCTAAATCCAACGTCAGAGTGCAAAGTATAAAATCTAAATAAAATAGTGGCTTTTTCAAAAAATCAAACAATTAATCCTAAAATTTAAAAGTAGTATATTGCAAGGATAATTTCTCTTAATATATAAAATATTATTATTCATCTTCATCAAGATAATATTAAATTTTAATGATTATCAGAATCCAGACGCGAACAAACCAAAACAGAAATGGATAACAGACTTTGCGATGATGACGAATATCAACAGATTTATCCTCTCTACTGGGGACAGAGAACTACAGTTCTTTGAAGCCAGCACTTTTGAGCCTTACTGTCAAATTAGGTAATTAGTTAATTAGGTAATTGGGTGATTAGGTAATTTGTTAATTTTATCTTCGTGCCGTTCTAATGTTTTTATCTCTTTGGTTGCGTATTTATATACTTATATTGAGACCAATCGTGAATCCGTGTAGCTTGAAATAATTTCACTGTAAATTGTAAATTGTGATACAAACTGGAATAATTGCCTGTACCGTGCTTTCTTCTCTAACTTCGCAAGCAACTTCTTAAAAGAGATTATAATGCCTATAGAAAGTAACTATGTTCTCAAACGGAAACTTGGCTATCGTTAACTGTCTCATTAACTTATTATGTACGAAAGTTATCGAATCACGTGATACACATGTTATACTAAGACATCACACAAAATGGTATTTCAGCGGTTTGGAATCAGTTCCACTGAAGATGAGCTTCTGGCACAATCCTCGAAACACTGAGGAGTCAATACTGATGTACGGAGACAATCAGGTAACCAGCGATATATATAATATCTATTTTCCCTTTCTCTGTTCTCCCTAACTCTCAATCTCTCTTCTCTTTAAAACATCTTTCTAATTATTTCCCTCTCTCTCGACTCTGACTTTCAACGTTTACATTAACACCTCCTCGTAGGGTTGTGTGAATGTGCTAGTGATACCCAACACGACACTAGCCTTCAGAAAATGGAAACAAGAAGCGAAAGTAGACGGAGTTCCCACTGCCAATATTGAAAAGGTAACACCATTGTTAATTATTCACACAATGCACAATATTGCACACTCCATCTACCTCTAAATCTGGTATGAACGGTATGTAAAGTATACTTTCCATACCAAGAACTGAAAATTGTCCGCTAATAACGATTGTCTGCTTTAACTAGAGTTTCTTGAACTAGGTGGCCAGTTTAGCAGACGTACGGTACGCTAGATGGGAGGTTCACAAAGACTGGGTAGTTGAGTTGAAGTACGAGGATCATCTCAGATCTATCATATCCTGCTCTAACGACCCTTCCACTGGCATCGTCATAGGTTGAGTAGATTACTATTCTGTTAGGTTAGATTTCAATTCCTCCAGCTCTCCAGCTTCATTCAAAACAACTCATTTTATTGGATTGAGTTGAATTTTTGTAAATCAATTTCCAAGATTGTGTATTTTTCATTGTTTGTTTATGTATGACAGTAGTGTACAACACAGTATCAAATATGACCTTACTCAGGAAACGTGGTCGGCAGCACGAACGTAGAATCTGCACTTCGTGAGAACGCGTTGAAGCGCTGCGCACAAGGAAGCAGCGCGCGCAAACGCCTCTCTGCAGATCAAACTGTATTCTATGTTTACAAAGGAGTAAAAACATTTGCGTATAGTGAATCGTATAATATATTAGTGACAGGAGGGATGGACAGATTGGTCAGGATTTGGAATCCTTACGTAAACACGTGAGTCTTAAAAATAACTGATATAGTTTTTATTAGCTTTTTTCTTGAATTCATGTAGTTTCAATGACCACTACCACTGTTATTCATGAAAAATGATCTGATATAAACACTAAATCGTATAACTGGGTCCTGGCATAAAGTCAAGAGTTTCTGAGTATTTTTAAATTGAAAATCTTTTGAAGTACCTGTACGTATGCTAAATTTTGACTAATAAGTAATAATAGCTATGAAACCAAATTTTTATCCATGATTTCTTTATTCTTGATCTTCAGAAAACCAACAGCATTACTCCGGGGCCACAACGGTCCTATCTTCTACCTCTACATATGTGACCGGGAACAGAGGATATACTCTATATCAACTGATAAAACAGTCAAGGTATCAAGTCTATATACTCTATATCAACTGATAAAACAGTCAAGGTATCAAGTCTTAACTAACAAGATGAAAAATCATAATCACGCACCGTGACACTTTTATTAACTGTTTAACTAAAATCTGAGTTAAAATAACACACATCCGAACCGATCCTAAAACGATCATAATTCGAGCTGATTCTGGTAAATAAAATGTACCTGATAACAACTGTGCAGGTATGGGACGCACAAGACCACAGTCAACTGTGTACAGTGGGTATGAAGAGTCACATGATACAGGGCGAGATGACAGCTGTGCTTTATAACGAGTTTACTAAAGCCATCGCTATTACTACGGACTGTTTATCTGTACTTAATCTCCGGGAAAACAGGTTTGTTTATTAAGTTCTGGCGTTGTTCTGGCTTTGTTCTGGCTTTGTTCTGGCTTTATTGTATTACCAGGGTTCACAGTATAGAGGTCTCAGATCATTATTCCGAATTGTAAAATTTGTAATCTGATTGCTTTAGACTGATTCAATCATTCTTTCAAGGCATAAGGTTACATAATATACATTTTACAATTATCATGACTTCAACAATAATTTAATTACTAAAAATTATTTTGCCGTTTAAATCAACAAGAAGTAAGAACACATTAATTTTAAGCTTTAAAACGTAAACTTCAATAGGCCCTTACAGTTATAATTATCTAGCCAAGAAATAGCTGAACTACAAATTAATATACAGTTAACAGATAAAAACGGTAGCAGATAAGGCAACATATTCTACATCTTATCTCAGCACAGCTCTATATCTATCAGTACACATAGGGTGGGATGACAACTAGTGCGGTAATTGTGGCGGTAGTAAGTGCGGCAGTGAATGCGGCAGCAGCTCCGTTCCCGTCGTGATGGTCTTCTTCGTGGTCCTCCTCCTGGTCCATGCCGTGGTCGTCAGAGAACTCCACGTTACTGTGCCCGGTTGGGGCTGCAAATACTGTGATTAGCGAGCCTTCTTAAATTTCCCCAGTAAGGAGACGGTCAGAGTTTAGGTGTAACAAATGTTGGTAAAATTGATAAAGTCATTAGATCATGAAGTTCAAACTCATCCTAAGTGAACCTCAAATTATTTGTTGTCCGTTGTATAACTGTTAAACGTAATGTAAAATCCGGATTGGAGTATTGTTTATGAGTCGCATTGTTGTAATGTATTCTGTGTAAATTATATTTCAATACTTTCAACACTACTATATAACAAATACTTTGAGATCATGAATACGATGTAGTTACATTGAAACGTCGAGTAAACTCCTTTTCCTAATAAGAGCATTTTTACTTGTCGCAGTAACCGGGATAAAGATAATTTACACAGAATACGTTAAACGTAATATAGTATCGAATATTGTAAACATTGCCCACACAACTTAGTCACAGAATCTGAGGGAAATTATTACGGTTGTGTCAGATTCTGACGAGCAGTCTAGCTGTAAAATTTCCAATATTTTACTTGAAGAATTTTGAGTCAAAGATACAGATCAGCTGACAAAAATATTTATGATTTAGATAAAAAAATACTTTTATTTTTAAATGTGTACCGGGAATGTAAGCTACTTTCGTGAATTCATTATTTAAAGAGTGGCTGAAGTAAATACTGAACTAAAAGGGTCACGTGGTGTGAATACTGTGTTCTGATAGGTTCATCAAAGTTAGAATCAGGATTGCAGTAACACCTGGTTTAACAACATCCTTACTGATTTCATGATTCCAATTATAATCTGCACACCTGAAGTAATACCTGGACAGTTGACTCACATGGTATGCAGGTAGGATACTGTGGGTTAGGATCAGTGGCATTACAAGTAAACTCCTCGTGGTGGTCCAGTGGCGCGTACCCCATATCACACTTGATAAACGCGTTAGCTCCGTCGTGAAGCTGCTCTTTGACCGGGGTTTTACTGTATTGGAGCTGGAATTCTCCGTGTTCCGTCTCCGGCAGAGTACACGCTGTGGGAAAATGTTATAAATATTTCATTAGCTTATTTACTATTGTCAGACATATTTAGTCTATGAAATCGTATTTGTCTTGTCCTGACCATTGTTGTCTAAAAAAGTTACCGTTATTATTTTGTTGTCATTTGTTTCTCTGCGGTATTTTCTAACAATTAAACAATTATTTGTTTGTAACTATATTAGCCATCATATTAGAGACCTACATCACTAAAGTTAGCTTGAAATTTTGAAATGTAAGCGCCGATTCAACCGAAATTCATTTTCCTTACATAGACGAAGTGCATTACATTATTTTCCAAGGAAAATAGTATCCCCTTGCACATTTACCTACTAGCAAAAACATCTAGTACGAGCATCAGTTATCATCCGAGCAGGCTATCCGATGAATTCGCATTGAACTTTTAATTCTTGAATGTGTGAGTGAGAAAAGTTTAAATTATTTGACCACTGCTACCGCTTAATTTTCCAATTTAAATGAATAGGAATAGTCTGGCTGCTTGACCACAGATACTACTAGGACAACTGCGATTGATCAACCAAAGGTATTTGTGGCCATAATAATAAGTCTCGAGAATAAAGATAATGATAGCCGTTATCTAACTGACTGTGTTATAGAATAGAACATTGCATGCATACTAACATAAAATAACAGTCTCATAGTTGAGAGGAAATAACTTTGCAGTCTTCCGATCAAATACGAAACTACTTATTGCTTGTCATAGCAATGTGTTAGTCTCTAAGCGTCTATATATCAAGGTCTATGGTCTGTAAACGATTTTAATTACTGTTAATTAAACAATTAAAGTAGATAATTACCCACCCATAATCTCGAGAGAGGTACTCTCGCCGCAGCAGAACAGGAGAACGAACAACAGTATCACTAGAACGTACATTGTGTCCTTAACTCTTTTAACCATCTAATGTTTAGACTTTAGAGTTTGTGTATAATTGAAAAGTATGTAAATATCTCGCATTTAACAAATCAATCCTCCCCGAATATTTTGAAACGCGTGAAAACTATCGAAAAATCAAAAAGTTTTATATCAGAGAAATTTGGTCCGTTGATCCAAAAAAATTCTCAACAAAATGTGTGAAGGTTTCGATCGGTCGACATGTCACAAATTTTGACATTTGTTTAAATACTGACAGGATTCTCGGTGGATATTGCGATTTTTGTGGTCACGTGATTCTCCGACTGGTCATGTGGTCTTAATTTCGGTTATTATTGAAATGTCAAGCCACGAACATGGCCCCCTCATTACTGCGGTTATTAAAATCACATACGGTTATGTCAATCTGTACAGAGAGGATTAGGGTGAAAGAGAAACTTTCTGCTTTCGTTGATGCAAAGTGAAAGTGAAACTTCTTGTCTTTATTACTTGCCTTACATACTACTCATTACTTGGTGACCATTCAAGTTCCATGAAAAATACTGAACTGATGTTGGCTGAAGATAACTATTAAATACGTCATACAATGTCACTTCAACTGTATTCTGTAACATGTATATACAGAATTCTACGGAATGTCCTAGATATTAATTAATAACTGAACCCAGATACAATTAATTAAATAACTAAACCCTGATATATAATTAGTTCATAACTAAACCACAATCAAGTTGTTATTTGTTGCAAAGTTCAAGATATATCACCTGTTACAGGTACTCCCAAACAGAAGCAACACAGACACACAGAGACGCTATACACTGCATCAGATATAATCCACACTTCAAACAGATAGTCACTGCTTGCAACTCAAGTGTAAGTAACCTTGCCTTTTATTTTACCTTACTTTTATTATAACCTTGCTAACTGTAAAGGACAATCAGCCATATTTTCCATTGTAGACACTGATGAGTATTATTACACGTTAGTGACCAGTATAAATATCCACCAATGTTTCCTCTGATATTTTCATTTTCTTCAGATGATAAAAGTGTGGGATATAGAGTCTGGCCAGCATGTATTCGAGTATAATAACGCTCACGGTAACTCAGCAGTCACCAGTATGATATTCGATAGCTCAGGACGCAGGTTAGCACCTTGTTAAAGTAATGAATTATATAGTTGCATTCTGGGGGGGGGGGGGGTTAAATCCAGGATAAGCCGTTTGTCTGAAAAACTTTGGATTTTTGTTTATTATTCAGCATTTTCGTTGATGGCAAAAGATTCGTAGTATAGACGATTTTGCAGTTTATGTCATTGATTAGTTGATTCAGTGATTTCTAAAATTAGATGGCATAAGTAGCAAGCCCCCACCCTTAGCGATACTGTATGCTCCCAAAATTAGGTTACCCTGTACTGCAATGTAAAGTCCCGTCTTTGATTCGATTTGAATGAATGTGACTGTTGTGTAATTTGAATGCTGGAAGTTTAAATTTAGAGGAAGGATTCTAACACTTGTTAAGATGGATTACAAGTGATGAGAATCGTTCAGCTGAATTTGGGATGGTTTCACAGCAGCTAAAAACCGTTCTAATTTTACAATAATATGGACTCATTAAAGCATTAAGGTCGTTAATAATTGAACATGGCAATTATATGGTAGTAAACGTATAATGTAGCCAAAGTTCAAACCACATATCTAATGAAGCCTCTTGTATTCCTTTAGATCTACACTCTCTAGGATCCAGGAGCTTATCTCTGTTGGAGATACTGATTTCATAGAAAATGGCCAACCAGACGATTTTGACTGTAATTGTAACAACCTTGGTTTTGCAGGTTAGTGACGGGCGGTAGGGACGGTTTGTTGCGGATTTGGAACTACAATAACGGACAATGTCTGCGGACCCTAAAGAAGGGAAGTAATGAGGAAGTGACCTGTGTTATACACGTTACTGTCAGCAAAAACAAGTGAGCTTTTCTGTTTGTTTTGGTTCGTACTGTTCATTATGGAATGAATAATGATATATAGACGGTAATAAACGGTTTGTGTTTTCTCAGAAAATTCTCCCTTCGACGAAACGAGTTTTTGTTACTTTTAAGTTTTTGAAGTAGTAAGTAGTAAAGGGGCTTGTCAAATACCAAATATTATGAAACAGCTGTTATTGTACAGGATTTGGAGAATCTCAATTATACCATATGAGCATATGGAACCTACAAAATAACACGATACCTTAGTTCCCAAAAATTTGTGTGCCATTATATTGAGCACAATTTATTTGAGCCCGAAAAATTTGGGCAGAAAATTTGAACTCATTTGGGCGACCGAAAATTTGGGCACAAATTCTTCGAAAAATGAACGATTTTCCAATAAAATTTCAGTTAGATATTTGCCTTAGTTCATTATTATTCCTTATTATTCCAGTCATTTTGCTTTCAATTTTAAGCATGTAGGTGGTAGTCTGAGTTGTTTCACATTATGAAATTTACGATCTGCCCAGTAACTACTAGAAAATACAGTGATGATGGCACAGTACAAAATGATAGATATACATTAATTGCAGATCTTGTTTAAATCTCTAGCTATCCGTACCTCTAGCCATTTGTTTTATTAGTAGCTGTTAGCTATTCCAGTTATTTCTATTCATTTAAAATATAAGCCTTTTTACTTGGTCAAGCCATGAATGACAGATTAGAAAACTAAAATTTCAAATATTATTTCACTTGGATATGAAGAAAAAGCCATCTTTCTATAGATTTCAGGGCCACAGGCCAAATGCCAAAAGTTTGGTTAGTAAAAAATTTAGCAGACGGAAAAGAGTTATGCAATTAATTTGGTCTGCAAAAAATTTGGGCGAGAGGCCCGCTCAAATTTTTTGTCGCCCAAATTTTTGGGAATTAAGGTATCATAAATAAGTACATTATTTTAAAATTGAGATTGAGATACACAACTCGCCACTCGGGTAACCGTTTCACACTTTGTTGATGATTAGACTTCAATACTTCAGAGTAACAGAAATAATAGTAGTTGGACTATTCGTTCAATTTGTATCGTGGAATATCTCAAATTTGGAACATATTCAAATTCATCTAAACTCGCACAGATAATCAGTTTTATAGCCATCTAACTGTTCAGAAAATTCTAACGGAATTGAATAATAGTTCCTGGAGAAAATCGAAAATATATTTTAAGTATTTTACTGAAACACTTGATTTCCGACCTCGCAATTTGGAACTGTTTTGTCGAAAGTCCTTCAGTCTAAGACGAGTTGGACTTTCTGTACCAAACTGTACCATGGTACAATATTTGACGAAAGTCGATTATCTCAAGATCTGAATGATAGAATTTCTTTAAACTTTCCAGATAGTTACATGGCTATATGAGAGATAATGTGTAAGAGTTTGGGAGAATTTCTAGCTTCCAAACTTGAGATATGACTTCAAACACAAGCAAATATTTCAAATTGGCGGTTTGAAGTCATATCTCAAGTTTGGCACATAGAAACTCGCCCAAAATCACACAGATTATCTGTCATATAGCCATTCAACTATCTGGAAAGTTTAAAGAAAATCTATCATTCAGGTCTCTGAATATATGCCTGTGTTCCATTAGAAACCGCCAATTTGGAGATATTTTCTTGTGTTTGAAGTCATATCTCAAGTTTGGAAGCTAGAAATTCTCCCAAACTCTTACACATTATCTCTCATATAGCCATATAACTATCTGGAAAGTTTAAAGAAAATCTATCAATCAGATCTTGAGAAAATCGAAAATATATTCTAAGTTATTCACTAAAACACTCGATTTTCGACCATTCAATTTGGTACTGTTTTGTCGAAAGTCCTTCAGTCTAAGACTCATGGGAGTCGCATATTCGTAACGCGCAACAACTTTTTTATAAGGTAACAATGACAATTTCTTTATTTTCTCACGTGCGCGCGGCTTTAATGCATGCTCTGCATGCTTAGTGCAGAATGCGTTGGAGGGTGCAATGGAGTTCATAACAAACATGTCAAACTCTTATGAATTGGATAGTCATACCGAAATTATCTCTAAACTGAACTATTCGGCCTGATTTTAAAGAATTATCTCACACGGCGCTGCAGATATTTCTGTTACATAATGTTTGCATGCAATGTTACAATTTCCTCGACATTATTCTTCCTCTAAACTAACATGATCTTTTTCAGATATATTGTATGTGTCGGATGGGATAGAAGGATCAACGTTTTTACGGTAATGATTTATTTCAACATTTTAAGTGTATTTCGGGATGATCAAGGTTGTAGGATGTAGGATGTAGGAGTAGTGCAACCTCTTAGTTGTTGATGTGATGTTCTTAACTATATTTGTACAAACTACATACTCAAATGAAGCTGCTATTTTTGCCATATGTATTGATTACTAATAATATATGCATTTTTCAGGACACAACAGAAAGTATTCATCACGAACAACAAGCACTTCCTCATTGGGTGGATGACGAGGTTTGTGAGGAACTTGTAGCTTTTGCTTGTGCTGAATAAGCTTTTACCGTTGTTCCACAAGATTACTCTAATCTTCAAAACTTCGAAATCGTTTATTAATGAGGTTACCACTACTGATAGACATATTTGAGCTCGCTATCGAATTCGGCATAAAAAACTGCAAATGTACACCATTCGTCAATGATCACCCGGATTTGTTGAATCAATGGATAGATTCTAATTACATGATTGGCTCAGTCAGCTTCTGTTACAGCTTCTGTTAAATCATTCGAAAAAAAGCTAGAAAACAAAAGTCAAGCAGCCTGATACGGGACTCGAACCCGTGACCCTCAGATTAAAAGTCTGATGCTCTACCGACTGAGCTAACCAGGCTTGTGCTACGAGCGCGATTTGCGGATATATATATATTTCTATTAACAAATTTAAATTTTAGTTTTATCTGTGATTATTAAACATGCTGATTTTATACATTTCGACTATCACTACTTGATACTCATTAGTCAATTCATCCGTTCTGCATAATTTGTTAGTGGTTAGAGCTTCCGCCTTCTTTGCACAAGGTCCAGGGTTCGAATCCCAGTGTCACCTAGTCTAGGGATTCATTGGATCTATGCGATCTCATCGGTCGACTTAGCTGAATAATAGGAAATTTTATTGATGATTAAATGAGGAGGGGTGCCTGAAAGGATACCCCTTCAAGAACATCTACATTATTACATTGTATTGTACTGTAAACAATGGTGATAGAACTATCCGATGACCCAGTAGAGGATTCTTCGAACTTTCAAAATTGCTTATTCAAAATTATTCCGATATCAACATCCCAGATATATGAAACATTTCTCAAGGAAGATTATTAACTAATATTCCGCATTTTTTCAGAGAAGAGGACACACGGAAGATATTTTAGCAGTTACAGCAAACAGTGCGACTAACCATCTTGCTACATCTAGCTACGATGGCGAGGTGAGTGTTTTTTTCATTAAGATATAATTGATCGAGAGTCTTTTTGCTTCCTTCTGCTGAGTGATGTTGAATGCATTAATTCATAACATTAGCTCGAATTCTAGTTTAGTCTTAACTCTTCGTCTTGTCAGTTTAAAAAAAGAAAAAGTAACAACTATGAAAATTTCAGTCTATGATTCCAAAAATGTCTCAACATGAAATTGTCTCTATCTCACTAAATCTACCTCTCTCGACAGATAATTATCTGGAGTCTGGTATCAGGGCACATATTTTGCCGACTGAAGGCCCCTCCTCCTGATCCCAAGAAAGCGTTTGATCCGATGGAAGGTGACGCGGCAGTAAACACCCTAGTGTTCCTGTCAGCTAGAGGAGTAACCAGACGGGCTGCTACATTGGTAGCTTGTGGACCTGCAGGTAATACTAATTTAATTTAAGACTTCAGATGCTGTTTATTAAGTTATTAAGTGCTGTCAGTCCCTTCATGCGCCCTTCCCAAATCTGTGGAGTGTGGTACTCTTACGCGTAACAATTAAACCCGTTCGTTTTCCTAACTTGAAGCAATTTAGAATAACCTCCTATTTTCAGGATACATCCACTTCTGGAACATCTACAAAGGTGGTAAAGTGATGAGCTACTTCACTCCAAATGCTGACGGGGCTAACTTAATAGCAGTTAACGGAAACAACACCGTGCTAGCAAGTGGAGACACTGCTGGCAATGTCAAGCTCTACAACATTTCAGAGTACTGCACTGAAGGTCAGTTTAGTAAGCAAGCATTTCGGTGACAAATAGAGAATGGAACAATATGATTTTTCAATTTTCTTCCGAATTTTGACCTCCATTACCTCAATTTGGTTTCATACCATCATCAATTAACTGATTATTGGTCTCTGGGCAAAAAGTCCATCCAATCTGTCAAATCTGTGTTCAGAAATTTTCATATTTGAAAATGGGACAGAAATTGGAAAATATGAATTTTCGTTTTGTTAAGATTTCTGCTGTGACCTTCCTCCGATCGAAATCAAACTTCCAGCACCTCAATCATGTCATATGCCATCTATAATAGTTGACTGACTAATTGGTTGCAGGTGACAAATTCAGTCAAAACTGTAAAATTTTGGTCCTGGAACTATAGGTCACAGGAGGAGGAAATATAATAATAAGGGTTTTTGTGTGGTAGTGCTCGACATAAAACTTCATTGAAACTGAAAAAATGTCATAATTACGATTAAGATTAAGCTTGATCGGAAGCTTGAAAAATCATGTGATTACCATCATCACCTCACCAAACTTCTCAATTATCCTGTTTCAGATAGTTCACATGCACACCATCTTAAGTCGCTAATCTTAAAAACACAATGCCACATGAATATTGATTATCGATTTCCTGATCCGACCCAGAACCTTCTCCCCCAACAGGAATAGAAAGATCCCCACCTCCTCTCCTCTCCCAGTTCCGGGCTCACACCTCTACTATAAAGTGTTTCGAGTTCGTTTCCGGGTTGGGACAGTGTGAGTTCCTGCTGTCTGGTAGTGACGATTGCAGTGTCAGACTCTGGACTGGAAAGGTAACTGAAATGAAAAATATAATTATCTTACAGGTAATTTTAATTGTCAGTCAAAGAATCTGTTATTTAAGTTGTTGGGAGGGAAGGCAGTTGAAACATAAAAATCTCATTAAATAATTTTTTTAAAAACATAATTTGTCTTGAAATTTCAGGGACATTACATTGGCACGCTAGGACAGACAACTAGATGGGATATTGATGATCCCGCCACATTCGCTCACCCTAGAGTACCCAGGGACGTCTTATCAGGTTGGAACTTGTTGGGTTTTTTACAAAAGTATGCAGATTATACCCGACAGTATATTGATACTGATAGTATGCAGTCGATGAAGAAATTAGGAAGAAGATTTGTAACTTTGTGCGATGCTTTCAGAAAACTGAACAATATGAACCTCTCTATCAAATATTGGTGGTCTCTGTTTAAGATTGTCGATTTAAAATTTTATTCAGGTAGCAGGGGTCCGGGTTGATTTTCCTTTCATCACAATTCAAGCTTTTAACATATCTCACTTCTAGCAATCCCAGAGCCAATTGACATTCCGGATAAGGTCCGTCAGTCCATTGACACCACACCGGAATACAAAGACTCGAAAAACACTAAGAACGATCTGCATGACGTCGAGTAAGTAGAACACCAAACATTCATAATCCGTCTTTTCAAACAAGTTTTATTTTTTTAAACATAACTCTATAATTTTCCAACAGAAAACAATGTGCACGAATCTGTTAGTATTCGCGTAACCCTCAATAAAAACTCTTCTTTCTCGTCCAGTCTAGATCTGGACTACCAGGAGCAAGAAGGTACACGACTGCGTCACATCAAACACAAACCAGGCCCCAAGACCCACGAGGGCCCTGCTGTCTACCATTCTCTTCCTTGTTTTGAGTTAACAGATGTGCCCCCTAGTCGGCAGGCCCCAGTTATTGGTTCTCTGGACCCCCTCTCCATACTGGACGCTGTGGAGATTGAGAGTGTAGCTTCAGAGGTAATATGGGTCATATCATCATTATATACTGCTAATCTGGGGGGGGGGGGGGGGGGGGGGGGGGGGGGGCGGTTCATATTATCATTATATACTGCTAATCATGTGGGTCCAAATCTTTTAAATAGCTCATTATTTTCCCATACGTTTTCCGTTTTCCCTAAAATTCGAATAATTTGTTCTATTCAGGATTTGACCCTGAAGCCGTTCACACCAAAACTCGGCGTCAAAACGAGAAGATCTAGTCCCATGACGACTAAATTGAAAGTCCTTAATGGGGCAAGTGCGCTGAAAAGTAATTATAAGTGAACTAATGGGGTCTAACATATTCCTCCATATTTGCTTGTACAAAATCACGCTGGAACTAAAACCCCCGTCCCCTTATTTATTTGTCAGATACAATTACAACCGTACCTTGATGAAGGCGGCATAAGGAAATCTAGACATGTGAACAACTTTTAATACTTTGCCAACACGTAAAGAAACTACCTAGTTGGAATCGCTATTTTAGGTTAAACTTAACCAGTATCAATATGTTCCGGTGTCCACAGTATTTCTAAACGTGAACAGTAATGAATCGACTATCCGTGTTTGGTTAGGAAATAGGCATAATGTTAAATCTGATTTCAAATGAAAAACTAAATTATATTATTTTTCGTACGGTATTTTTTATCTGTAAAGCGATTGGTACTTGAGTGTATATATTTTGCATTGTTAAACAGGTGTGTACATATAATTTATTGCTTATACATTTTGTTACGTATTATAATTATAAAAGTTGTATATTGTGATACTATAAAGTGATTTGCTTTACTGTTGAAGGTTTATAAACAGCTTGGTTTTTATTTTTTCGTCCATGGCACAAACAACAAAATTATGAATTAGTTATACTACGGGCGATGGTATTCACCCGCACCGTTAACTTTAAGCCTGACAAGTTTCGCATGATAAATTTTGATAAATATATGTTGTTTGAGAGCTACAATGTATATTGTATAGGTTAGATGGTTGTTAAAACTAAAAGGACTTTCGGCTATATATATGCTAACAACTAATCTGTTCCTGATTAAAAGGTCGAAAATAAAATGTTTTAGCAAATAACTTATAAGTATGACTTATTTGACCAAAACCCATAATCATGGGTAGAGTGGACCGCTGCCAGTGTCTCTCTTTCCCAAACAAAAGGAAATGATATTAATTTGATTGACCGTTCTCAAATGCAAAATGATACCGAGAATGAAATCGGTCGCTCGCTTTTCCCATTCATTCACGGCTTACAATCAATCACATGTTGTAACAAGATATGCGGCCAAAATTCCTTTGGGTTGCGTTCGGGTCGATATACCTAGTATTTCGGGATAAGGGTGGTACTGGTAGTTAGTGAATTAGCTGAAGTTTATTGATTCTTTATTGCTGAGTACAGCTGCCTTCGGGTAGTTCTTCTTAATCTATTACAATTGTAAATTAATGGGAAAAGCGAGCGACCGATTTCATTCTCGGTATCATTTTGCATTTGAGAACGGTCAATCAAATTAATATCATTTCCTTTTGTTTGGGAAAGAGAGACACTGGCAGCGGTCCACTCTACCCATGATTATGGGTTTTGGTCAAATATCATCTCTTTTTGATTATAATGTCAGGGTACTTTATAAAGTTTTGTGTTTTTTTCATTAAGATATAATAGATCGAGAGTCTTTTTGCTTCCTTCTGCTGAGTGATGTTGAATGCATTAATTCATAACATTAGCTCGAATTCTAGTTTAGTCTTAACTCTTCGTCTTGTCAGTTTAAAAAAAGAAAAAGTAACAACTATGAAAATTTCAGTCTATGATTCCAAAAATGTCTCAACATGAAATTGTCTCTATCTCACTAAATCTACCTCTCTCGACAGATAATTATCTGGAGTCTGGTATCAGGGCACATATTTTGCCGACTGAAGGCCCCTCCTCCTGATCCCAAGAAAGCGTTTGATCCGATGGAAGGTGACGCGGCAGTAAACACCCTAGTGTTCCTGTCAGCTAGAGGAGTAACCAGACGGGCTGCTACATTGGTAGCTTGTGGACCTGCAGGTAATACTAATTTAATTTAAGACTTCAGATGCTGTTTATTAAGTTATTAAGTGCTGTCAGTCCCTTCATTCGCCCTTCCCAAATCTGTGGAGTGTGGTACTCTTACGCGTAACAATTAAACCCGTTCGTTTTCCTAACTTGAAGCAATTTAGAATAACCTCCTATTTTCAGGATACATCCACTTCTGGAACATCTACAAAGGTGGTAAAGTGATGAGCTACTTCACTCCAAATGCTGACGGGGCTAACTTAATAGCAGTTAACGGAAACAACACCGTGCTAGCAAGTGGAGACACTGCTGGCAATGTCAAGCTCTACAACATTTCAGAGTACTGCACTGAAGGTCAGTTTAGTAAGCAAGCATTTCGGTGACAAATAGAGAATGGAACAATATGATTTTTCAATTTTCTTCCGAATTTTGACCTCCATTACCTCAATTTGGTTTCATACCATCATCAATTAACTGATTATTGGTCTCTGGGCAAAAAGTCCATCCAATCTGTCAAATCTGTGTTCAGAAATTTTCATATTTGAAAATGGGACAGAAATTGGAAAATATGAATTTTCGTTTTGTTAAGATTTCTGCTGTGACCTTCCTCCGATCGAAATCAAACTTCCAGCACCTCAATCATGTCATATGCCATCTATAATAGTTGACTGACTAATTGGTTGCAGGTGACAAATTCAGTCAAAACTGTAAAGTTTTGGTCCTGGAACTATAGGTCACAGGAGGAGGAAATATAATAATAAGGGTTTTTGTGTGGTAGTGCTCGACATAAAACTTCATTGAAACTGAAAAAATGTCATAATTACGATTAAGATTAAGCTTGATCGGAAGCTTGAAAAATCATGTGATTACCATCATCACCTCACCAAACTTCTCAATTATCCTGTTTCAGATTGTTCACATGCACACCATCTTAAGTCGCTAATCTTAAAAACACAATGCCACATGAATATTGATTATCGATTTCCTGATCCGACCCAGAACCTTCTCCCCCAACAGGAATAGAAAGATCCCCACCTCCTCTCCTCTCCCAGTTCCGGGCTCACACCTCTACTATAAAGTGTTTCGAGTTCGTTTCCGGGTTGGGACAGTGTGAGTTCCTGCTGTCTGGTAGTGACGATTGCAGTGTCAGACTCTGGACTGGAAAGGTAACTGAAATGAAAAATATAATTATCTTACAGGTAATTTTAATTGCCAGTCAAAGAATCTGTTATTTAAGTTGTTGGGAGGGAAGGCAGTTGAAACATAAAAATCTCATTAAATAATTTTTTAAAAAACATAATTTGTCTTGAAATTTCAGGGACATTACATTGGCACGCTAGGACAGACAACTAGATGGGATATTGATGATCCCGCCACATTCGCTCACCCTAGAGTACCCAGGGACGTCTTATCAGGTTGGAACTTGTTGGGTTTTTTACAAAAGTATGCAGATTATACCCGACAGTATATTGATACTGATAGTATGCAGTCGATGAAGAAATTAGGAAGAAGATTTGTAACTTTGTGCGATGCTTTCAGAAAACTGAACAATATGAACCTCTCTATCAAATATTGGTGGTCTCTGTTTAAGATTGTCGATTTAAAATTTTATTCAGGTAGCAGGGGTCCGGGTTGATTTTCCTTTCATCACAATTCAAGCTTTTAACATATCTCACTTCTAGCAATTCCAGAGCCAATTGACATTCCGGATAAGGTCCGTCAGTCCATTGACACCACACCGGAATACAAAGACTCGAAAAACACTAAGAACGATCTGCATGACGTCGAGTAAGTAGAACACCAAACATTCATAATCCGTCTTTTCAAACAAGTTTTTTTTTAAAAACATAACTCTATAATTTTCCAACAGAAAACAATGTGCACGAATCTGTTAGTATTCGCGTAACCCTCAATAAAAACTCTTCTTTCTCGTCCAGTCTAGATCTGGACTACCAGGAGCAAGAAGGTACACGACTGCGTCACATCAAACACAAACCAGGCCCCAAGACCCACGAGGGCCCTGCTGTCTACCATTCTCTTCCTTGTTTTGAGTTAACAGATGTGCCCCCTAGTCGGCAGGCCCCAGTTATTGGTTCTCTGGACCCCCTCTCCATACTGGACGCTGTGGAGATTGAGAGTGTAGCTTCAGAGGTAATATGGGTCATATCATCATTATATACTGCTAATCTGGGGGGGGGGGGCGGTTCATATTATCATTATATACTGCTAATCATGTGGGTCCAAATCTTTTAAATAGCTCATTATTTTCCCATACGTTTTCCGTTTTCCCTAAAATTCGAATAATTTGTTCTATTCAGGATTTGACCCTGAAGCCGTTCACACCAAAACTCGGCGTCAAAACGAGAAGATCTAGTCCCATGACGACTAAATTGAAAGTCCTTAATGGGGCAAGTGCGCTGAAAAGTAATTATAAGTGAACTAATGGGGTCTAACATATTCCTCCATATTTGCTTGTACAAAATCACGCTGGAACTAAAACCCCCGTCCCCTTATTTATTTGTCAGATACAATTACAACCGTACCTTGATGAAGGCGGCATAAGGAAATCTAGACATGTGAACAACTTTTAATACTTTGCCAACACGTAAAGAAACTACCTAGTTGGAATCGCTATTTTAGGTTAAACTTAACCAGTATCAATATGTTCCGGTGTCCACAGTATTTCTAAACGTGAACAGTAATGAATCGACTATCCGTGTTTGGTTAGGAAATAGGCATAATGTTAAATCTGATTTCAAATGAAAAACTAAATTATATTATTTTTCGTACGGTATTTTTTATCTGTAAAGCGATTGGTACTTGAGTGTATATATTTTGCATTGTTAAACAGGTGTGTACATATAATTTATTGCTTATACATTTTGTTACGTATTATAAAAGTTGTATATTGTGATACTATTAGGGGGTGCACCATAAAAATAAACTTGCTCGGATTTTAAAATTTTTTGTACCATTGTTTTCTAGAGACTGTGAGAATTTTCACAATACCAAATTTGTTATAACTTTTTGGAAAGATCAGTGAGTTTTGCCTAGGTGCCATATTTGATGGTGCGCGGCTTTTGGAGCAAAATTAGCTGTAAAAGTCGCGTAATTTGACCAAATTTGACCAAATTCGTTGATTTTTGTCGTATTATTTGGATATATCTTCAGTTCCTTGAATGAGATCATTCTGAAAATTGGCGACGACCTTCCAATAGGGCTTTCACAACTGTCCGAAAAATTTAGTGGATATCGGGGTTGATATAGTGATCAAAATGGGGCAAAATACGCTGCTTTTAGCTGTAACATAATGTCTAATGGTTGGATATGCTTTAAACTTTTCGGACACTTTCCTTGTAAGTCTATGAGTAAGCTTACCAATTTTTGTTGCAATCGGAGGTCGGGAAGGATACTTAATATTTATTTGTTTGAAGAAAATTGTGCTGGCCGAAATTAGCGCTAAAAAACCATCCTACAGTCGGCACGCGCGGCTCACTGTCGATGGCGCACTACCTAATACTATAAAGTGATTTGCTTTACAGTTGAAGGTTTATAAACAGCTTGATTTTTATTTTTTCGTCCATGGCACAAACAACAAAATTATGAATTAGTTATACTACGGGCGATGGTATTCACCGTTAACTTTAAGCCTGACAAGTTTCGCATGATAAATTTTGATAAATATATGTTGTTTGAGAGCTACAATGTATATTGTATAGGTTAGAGGGTCGTTAAAACTAAAAGGACTTTCGGCTATGCTAATAACTAATCTGTTCCTGATTAAAAGGTCGAAAATAAAATGTTTTAGCAAATAACTTATAAGTATGACTTACAATATGAATAATTTTCAATTTTCTCCAGATCCTAATAATCTAATATAATATACGATTTTCTTTAAACTTACCTGTTACGTAGTAATACTACGTATGTAGTATGTAGTAAAATTTTGTAGCTTGTATCACACCGTGACCCCATTGTCGTTTCAGTATCGGGGCGAAAGTCACGATAAAGCCGCGTGCATGTGCACTCGTGCGCGGCGGGCCTACAAGTGCAACTACAATGTTGAATGTGAGCCCATCGATCTATCGTACCCCACTTTTGATTCACGATGTCAATATTAACGGGTGATACTCGTAAAATATCTGTTCCATATATTGGACCGTCGACGAGTCCAACTCGGCGCGCGTCCTGGTAGGTTGTAAACCTACAATGTCAATCCTTCAGTCTTCACAGCTCGGCCAGGCCCAGTGGTGCATCTCGCCGATCTAGCGAAGCTATGTAGCGAGAAGCATTATATTGGATGCGCGGCCCAGTTTGAGTTAAGTAGTTGGTAGTGCATCGTGCTACAAATCCCACTTCAAATAAGTAAAGGGGTCGTTTACATATCACGTATTCACCTCTATATACCTTCGTCGCGAAAAAAACTATTCCGAAATATTTCGTCCGAAAAATTTCGTCAATTGCTCACAAAACTTTTCGTCTGCGAAAAATTTCGTCCAATTTTGACGGATGTTACTTGTCTTGATTCACGATGTCAATCCTTCGCAGCTAGCAGGCTATTATGTTCATTAACATATAAGAATAAAGATTTGGCGGAATGACAGGCTGAGCGCGGCCCAGTAATAGACAACCTTATCAACTTTGTCCGGGGAATTTCTGACTACTCCGGGGAATTTCTGACTACTCCTTCATTAATTATAGCTTTGTCCAAAGAACTGCTCGCTGCTTCTGCTCCTGATACTGTAGCGTTCTGCTCCAACAATTCTAACAGGTGTTTTATAGTTGCTCATAAACAGAGACATCGACTTTCCCGCCTAACTTTATGAAGAAATGAACATGCCTGCTTATTTCTCTCGGAAAGTGTCCCACCTCTTCTCCAGCTGCTGATTTATCTTTCGTGTTATTGATCTTAATAACAGCTACCGCAAAAGGGTCGTCATTGTTATCTTTATCCAGTTGAACTTTGAGCTTGTCGCTAAGATCCGGCTTCGGCCATGTCGATTTCATGTAAACATGAAAGCCACGACTGGCTATAACAGTTTTAAAAACAGCTTCTACTGACATGAACTTGAACGTAAACAATTGCTAGTGTGAAAAGGCGGAATTGTGAGCCGGAATTGATCATAGACACCTACAACTTTCTATCAACTAGAAAAGACAACATAATTAAAGGGTTTTCCAAAGCAGGAATAACCGATGCCGCCTTTGAAAACTTTGTCAGTGAACTGGATCTATTTGCGGATTTAATGTAGAATTAGATGGTGAGAAATGTTATGATATTACGATATTATGATCATTTTGGTATGAAATGTTTCAATTCTTACACTGTATGAAATATGAATCATTCCAAATTAGATTATTAACTGAAGTTGAATTAATTCGTATGTATTTGCTCTAACCAGAGCCCTCTCGCTTGCAGTAGCGCGCGACCGCCGTAGGCGGCAAAAGAGGGCTCTATAGATGGCCACAAACTGGCACCACAAATCGTGGTGCCAGATTTCCTCCTATATTTCTGATGCCGCGCGCGACGTGTTAGTCATGTCTAGTTACTGCAACTGTTAGACTCGTACATTGCATTTGCACATATATAATCAGTGCAATATTTTCTCGTTGGATAAGAGTTTTTGGAGGGAATTAATTTAATCTCTTTGTTCAATCATTTCATTTTACTGTTTCCTGATTCTTTGTTCGTTGCCATCATTCGGCAGCTGATCAGATCATTCGGCGGATGTTTCTTTGTTCGTTGCTTTTATTCGGCAGCTGATCAGATTATTCGGCGGATGTTTCTTTGTTCGTTGCTTTTATTCGGCAGCTGATCAGATCATTCGGCGGATGTTTCTTTGTTCGTTGCTTTTATTCGGCAGCTGATCAGATCATTCGGCGGATGTTTCTTTGTTCGTTGCTTTTATTCGGCAGCTGATCAGATCATTCGGCGGATGATTCAAAGGGAGACAACTTTAAAGGTGTTTGAAGGTCATCTGAAGGTCAGCTGAAGACGATTTACATAAATATTTTGAAAGCTCCTGCTAAATAAATCCTTGCATATCACTTATATGTTTTTAATATCCCCTCTAGGTTTAAAGGTTTCTGTTAAATTGTCAGTAATCAGCAGACTTTGCTACACTTTTGTCATTTGCAATTGGACTTAAAAAATGTTAAAGGTTGTCATTGTCTATATTTTCGAAATAGAGTTTTGTGGGGAACTAATTTAGTCTCTTTGGTCAAGCAACCCGGAACCCCATGAATAGTGAATACTGTTATTATGATCTCCGAGTTCACAACAGGTATATGTTTTAAAATTCATAATATATGGGGGGGGGGGGGGGGGGGGGGGGCAACCAACCATATTAAAGTATATTAAAGTATATCCCGGGTCAAAATCGGAAAAAATCCTACATTTTAATATACTTTAATATACCTACAATTAGTAGATTAGAAGATAAGCCAGTTGCTAGTCCCCTGAACTCATACTTCATATAGGCCTATTTTGGCTCATAAATCGGTCAAGTATCAATATCTTTGAACAAGACTAACTTTACATGAAAGGTAAATCTAATCTATACATGAAATAAAACAACAGGGGGGGGGGGCAACCATATTAAAGTATATTAAAGTATATCCCCGGGTCAAAATCGGAAAAAATCCTACATTTTAATATACTTTAATATACCTACAATTAGAAGATTTATATTTTTCGTTAAGATTTACATGATGAACTATATTTTTCACTCAGATTCGCAAGATAAGCCTGTTTAAGGACTAGTACATGAATTTCCATCCAGATTGGTCAAAAATTGGCTGAGCTATGAGCTTAAAAAAATATGCCCATATTTGGGCATACGCTTTTGCCCAAATTGGCTTTTGCCCAAATTCGATAAAATTTCAATATTTTTTAATGAGACTAACTCTATGTGAAAGATATAACTCAGTGTTTGTTGAATATAGTGGATACTAAGTAAAAAGACCTCCATGAACAAAATTGGGAAAATTGCACATAATATCTCGGTTCGGAATACTAGCCAAAATGACTTCATTAAAATTGAAATAACTCCATCAGTTTTCAATATTTTTTCAAGAACTTTTTGGAATCGATTAAGAATTGCATTTCAAGCTTATTTTGGGCAACAATTTTTGATGTAGGCCTCCATGGAGATAAGGATATATTAAAGTATATTAAAGTATATTAAAGTATATTAAAGTATATCCCCGGGTCAAAATCGGGAAAAATCCTACATTTTAATATACTTTAATATGGTTGGCCCCCCCCCCACAACATTTTTCACATATATTTTTATAATATAGGTATATTAAAGTATATTAAAGTATTTCCCGGGTCAAAATTGGAAAAAAACCTACATTTTAATATACTTTAATATGGTTCAAAATTTTAATGGAGATAATATAGGTATATTAAAGTACATTAAAGTATATTAAAGTATATTAAAGTATATCCCCGGGTCAAAGTTGAGGCACTTATAGTATTAGTTACAGCCAATATAAAGTTCTCAACTAGATTATCAAGTTTTTAATCTTTCGCATAGAATTGAGAAACAAGAATGACCATCGATTTTAAAACCATTTTAATAAATTAACGGGGTTTTCATCGCACCATATCAAAACAATTCAAATAATCCGCTCCTACTAAATCGCTCGTCTCAATAAAATATTGTGTGAAATAAAAAGGTCCTAATCAGGGTATGAAAATAACCTGAACCGGTGTA